GCCTCTTTGACTCTCTGATCCATCACTTCTCTCTCTTTCCTTCCTCCTTGTACCTGCCTGGCACCCCACTGTCACCCATTTCTAAGTCTTCATATGATCTGTTGAAGGAAAGGACAGCCAAGAGTACACTAAACCACCTCATCTGCGCTTCTACCACTGCCCATGTCTCTCCAAACACCTCTCCTGTTGGACACCTTTCCACTCTGCCCTTCTACCTTGCTAGAGTTTCTTTCTCTTCCCTGCAACACGCTCATCAGATCTACCATTGCTGATGCTCTAGAAGGAAGGCTTTGTCTCTTAGGATCCAGGAACCTGCTTCTCTTCTTTGCCTGCTCACCTCACCTTTCCTATCTCCACCAACACAGATCTCCCTCTGCTGCTGGCAACCCCCAGGAAGACATGGCTGCAGCTCCAAGTCAGATGCAGGTTTCAGCTGAAGTGTGCATGCAGGGAAGGCCACACTTTGCTTTTTAGCTTCTTCCTGCCATGTATTCCTTGCAACGGTACCACAGAAAGCCATCCTGACACGTCAGACTTTCTATAGAGTTGGTAGAAGATTAAAATTTTAGATGATGTCAGAGGTAACTTGTAAAAATGACAAAAACTGTTAGTTAAACCTGTCACCATTGTCCCACACAAATAAGTCAAATTATCTTTAAGAGGTGCAGCAGTGGATGGATCCATTTTTATGGCACTTGGTCTCTGCTCGCTGGCTACAGATTAACCCTCTCTTCAGAGAGAGCTCACTTCTCCAGACCTTTGTGGTGTGACTGCCAACCCCAGAGGAAGGCACTTCCACTGCTCTCCCCATGCCTGCAGTTGGGTCTGACTGTGAAATCCAGTTCCTGGGCCCCCGATGTTAAATGTGTAGAAATGCCTCTGAGAAATGCTAGAGATCTAAAAGGGAAGAAATCTATCTGTTACGCTCGAATACTCTAAGACCGAGCACAAAGCTGGAATGATGGTGAGATTGTAGCAAGTACTTGGAGCAGCAGAGAGAGAAGATGAAAACACTACCTCTCCCTGATTTACATGTTTTCTATTTCTTCTGACAGATATAAGCTGTCTTGACTTCATTTCATCTTGCTTAGCATCTCACTTAGTCCCTTTGGAATCTTATCTAGTTGCCATTGTTCAGGTCCCTGCAGTACTTGGTCCACTGCTGGCTAGCAGAATAGGTGGAGCTGTGCCATGTTATCACCCCTGGGGAATGTTATATTCTTGACACTCACTCCCACACCCTATACTTAATAGTAACCAGGTGAATGCTAACATTCGACATGATTTATGTGGGTTCTCCAAGCCCTCTGCTAGCCTACAAATGCTTATGAAAATAAGCTGGACGTTTTGAGAGGCAGCCAACTCTTTTCCAAGTATAATAGGAATGGAAAAAAGGAGTCTGCAATCGCATCACACATGCTGCTGCTCCCAACTGCCTTCTCTAACTGCAAGACCCGAAACTCCCAGTGTGGCCTGCAAGCGTCTGTGCCAAACAAACAACGTTTTAGCTCAGAGGACCAGCTGAGCCCATCTCCATAGGAGTAGGAGCCATGTACTTAGAAGAGAGATTTCCCTTTAACACTGTGGACTTCTCAATATACCGATTTCTTCATTCTTTTTTTTTTTAATTGCTTATCTGTTTGCTTGCTTATTTTGAAAGGCAGAGAGCAAGGGAGACAGAGACTGTCCATTTGTGGGTCAATTCCCCAAATTCCCAAAATACCCAGAGCTGGGCCAGGTCAAAGCCATGAGCCAGGAATCCCATCCAGGTGTCCCACATTGGTGGCAGGAACCCAAGCACTGGAGCCTTCACCTCATCACCTGCACACTAGTGAGAAGATGAAATGGAGGCAGGGTAAGTGAGGGGACCCTGATGTTGGATGCAGGAATCGGAAGTGGTGACTTAACTGTTGTATCAAACATCCACTAATGTTTTCCAGCTATTTTACTCTCTCAGATTGTAATTTGTCTGAAGTTTTAGAGGACTGCATTTTGTGTTAAAGACTCTTTGGGGCCTTAATTCCACAGGTGACTCTGTCTGCAGTTACTAAATATTATAATAATATATATGACACTATTGTCACATCACTGGTATAAAGGCATTGTAAAATTCCATCTGTAAATATGTGAAGCTGATGTGAGGGGTATGCATACAAATATGAAATTGTGTATTTGGACTTACTGAGAAATGCATACTGTCAAGTCTTGACTGGAAGATTGTTCTAGTCTGCTGTAGCCAGGCCTGGTGCTCAGTCTTACAGCTTCCCCATCGCCCTTGGTCGGAACCAGAGTTTTTACTTAAAAAATAATGATCAAATCCTTAATACCTTAAAATTAATTAATCATGATATCCACATATTTTATAAATATCACTTTATTAGTGTGTTCCATAAAAAATGGTTTCACCAAGCAGGAAGATTCATAAATACAGCCAGGACTCACTTTCCCTTCCTGCCATTTTTGCCCTGTTTCCTTCTTCCTTTGGTCCAAATCTAACTGGGAGATAGTGCCAGCCTCATTCGCCTTGCCTGCACAACTGCAACCCCCTTAGTTCTTTAAACTCTTCTTGAGTACTTGTAACCTCTAAGAAACTGCTCATGCTTTTTCTCTCATACAGTCTTTTAAACCCTATACTTGAACACCTGTTATGTGCCAAGTCCTGCGTTTAGCATGTCCATGCAGTTACATTTGACCTTCACCATGGATCTTCGTAGTGACAGTTTAAGGATGTTGCTATTATCATTAGTTGAAATAAGAAGACATTGACCTGGTCAGGTTGCCATGTTTATCATAAATATGTCTTCAAGGCTTCTAGTTTTTCTACGTTACACTGTGTGTTAAGCTAGTCAGTGTGGCCTCAACATCTCAGTGAATCACACACGCATCTGGTGGCCTCACTGCTGTTGGAGTTTCTGATCTAAACGGAGAGGGGACCTGAGAACAAGTTGGACAAACTAAGGTGATTATGATCCAAGAAGCATAAATTAGTACACTTGTGAAAGGTGAATTAGTTCATCCAAAAGAAATTATTTTACTTTATATGCACACGTAATGTTCCCAACATTTAATAGAACTAGATATATTCCCTATTACCTACATGATAGAAACATTATATACATCCAGGTTCATTGAATTAAAAAAAAAAAAAAAAGCTCAGTATCAAATTCTAGAGATGCTATAGTGACTTCTAGTTCAGAGTCTGCTAAAGACTTGCCAGGAGCCCCGTAACCAGGCAAACATGACATTGCTATGGCACTGTCCCTTGGAGCCAAATAAGGCCTCAAGGTCTTTAGGGAGCTGAGGCCACTTTGGACTTTGGAGTAAATTGCCATCTAAAAAAGTCAACCACAAAACACACCAAGAGCATCGACATAAGTGCATCCAAAAATATAAATACTTGGCTTTCATTGTCAGCATTTTAAGTGTGTAATTGACTCTGAGAATGTTTCCTCTGTCTTTTAACAGACGACGAGAACTCCAAGTTTAAATATTTATTTTGGAATGCAAGGTTGACTTACTTTAAGAGTAAACAACTGAAAAGAAAGGAAGGAAACCCAGGAGGTAAAAAGTTGTATGCCTTCTGGTTTGTGCCTACAGGATTGCTGATCAAATAAGCGTGAAGGAATTGGGAGCAATTATAACAGAAGGAGCTTTGAAATATGAGAACGGCGATCAGCACCCAGGCAGGAGCCGGCTTCAACAAACATTGCCAAGGCCATTGCATTGGGATTTTTCAGCTCATGTGAAAGCGCTGCCAGTGGAAAAAGTAAAAAGACATTTCTGCACAGCTGGGGTTCTCATGTTCCTTTGAAGCAAGATAGCTTATTTCCCAAACACATCTGGCCTGGCCGGGTCCTGGGCTGAGAATGACCAAAAAAAAAAAAAAAAGTGAGCTCTAATATCGCATCTCACATTATTTACAAGTCGTCCTTGAGGAAAGCCAGAGTAATGGAATTACAGCCTGGAAAGAAGCCTCAGAATGGTCCCAGTCCCACTGTTTGGCTCTACAGCAGCTGAAATGGAGCTGGGCCCCATCTGTGCTTTGGCTCTTCCAGCCTGGGAGTGCTCACCACATCCCTGCCTCCATCGCAGAACTGCGATGAGGAGCGAACGAAGACGGAGGTTGGAAAGTGTCTCGGCCCAAGCCCTCTTTCTTCCCTGGATTCCTGTACGATTTACTGTTATGCTTTATTCTGTATTCGGGCTGCCTGGCCTTATTTATTTTACTATATTTAACTCTCTTTTGGTCTTACTTTGATTTTGAAAGCAGGCACCTATATTACGTGGCAAACAGTCAAACACAAGCTAGTTGTTGATTCTATAGCAGTAACTAGAATTCACTCTGTGGCTGCTGTGCACCAGCTACTAGGCTTTTGCATGCAACAGTCCTCAGAGATGGGCAGTGTTGATCTAAGGAAGCAGAAGCTAGAGGTTGCGCTCTGCCAACAGCAATAGGAAGTAGTAGAGTAAGCACAGACTCAAACTTCTCTGACAGAAAAGCCCTTATTTTTCATTGCAGGCTATGCTTGAAGAGTGTGGTGTGTGTGTGTATGTACAGATATATGTGTGTGAGTCTGGATGGATACATTGAGGTGCTAAGCAGGTGTGTGGCTGTGTGGCACAGTCAGTTAAGCTGCTAGTTGCATATCTGTATCTTTTATCAGAATATCTGGTTCAAATTCTGGCTGCTTGGCTTCTGACCCAGCTTCCTGCTAATGCATGCTGGGAGGCAGTGGTGGATGGCTCAAGTGCTTGGAGCCCTGTCACTCACATAGGAGACCCAAAATGGAGTTCTGAGTTCCTGGCTTCTCACTGATACAGCCCTGACCGTTGGCAGACGTGGGGAATGAATCAGCAGATTGAAGTTCCTCTTCCGTTCTCTTTCTTCTTTTTCAAGTAGATTTAAAAAATAATAATAAACATATAAACATAATAAAAACACATTTGCATGATCATTTTAAATGTTAGGCATAGTTAGGCCAACCATTATTTTTCCCCAGGGACCTAAGAGATGAGTATTGGAAAAAATCAGAAGATACAATAGAAGCAAGAGCCTTTTGATATTGTGGAAGTCAAATGGGAAAGAACCATCACACAGCTCATAACCCAAGGTACTGCACAGGAAATTGCTTCCGACCTTACCTTCCAAACCTTCCTCAGCCTAGTTACTAGCCTCAGCTATGGTCTTTTGGCTTGTCTGTTGGTAGCCAAATACAGCATGAATTTTAAAAGTATCAGCTTGCCTTCCATTGAATCACAGTCCAGTGGCTTTAATTGTTACTCTTCAGATACTAACTCTTCTCCCAGTGGCCAACAAGGCAGTGTGATGGCCCAGGGCAGCTCTGGCTCTCAGGGCTCAATTCTATAATGAGTGGAAAGCTACAAGCCATGTCCCCAGGGAGTGCTTGAACCCTGATCTTGCTGTCTGCAGCTTCTGTACGTTCCTGGGGCACCAGCCACCAAGGATACCTGGCATTAGACACAGTTGTAATTTCAAGTGGCAAATGCTCTAGGAAGATGCTGTGTTTATGCCTTTCTCCTATTCTTCCTGTGATTATTTTTTTTCACTCCTTTTTAGCTACTTTCTTTACATTAACCCTTGTTAGAAAAGGCAGAGTTTGTTAGGAAAAAAACTCTGAAGAGTATGTATCCCGAGAAGGCGAAATACAAGCCACCTTGGCTCTTAATCCGTTCAGTGTTTATTGATCATTCACTGTTTCCAGAGCTTTCTTTACTGAGCTGTTTAGTTTTTCTAGTTCTGATTCTAAGATTATCAAGCCTTGAAACATCATTAGGCAACTATGTCTAGCTGTGTCCAAATCCTCCCCCCTCCCTCTGATGCTTCCTTTGTCTCCCCCTCTGAGTGTTGCACAAATACTGATCACCTGTTTATCTGCCAGGCAGAAAAGTAATTTTAAAAATTCAAGTAATAATATAAATGCACATATGATCCAGTCCTACAGCTAAACAGACTAGATTTCCTAAAATAACTGATATATGATTTTTATAAAGTCCTTTTTTGAAAAACACTAGTAACATGTAAAACTTGAGATTCATTTGTGTATTTTTGGCAGTTTCATTCGGTTCTCACCTCTGACCATTTCACACTGATCCAGCCACAAAACTCTTGGTATTTCAACCTGGTGATCAAAATCAAGACATCTACCTCCCACTCCCCACAAGGTGGCTTTCTGAAAGCTTGAGTTTCCCTTACTCCCACCCCACCCCCAACTAAGCTTCTGTTAAATAATTATAAAAAAACAGAAAATAATCATTTTCACAAACACACACTACATACTAAACATGGATTTCATGCTATTGGCTTTAAGTAAATTTAAAATATATAAAGTATAAAAGAGAGGAAAAGCCAAACACCTAATTGCCCCATCAAAAATGGCCACTCAGGGACCCATGTGGTGGCATCGCAGACTAATCCTCCACCTGTGGCACCAGCATCCCATGTGGGCATTGGTTCAAATCCTAGCTGCTCCATTTCTGATCCAATTCCTTGTTTATGGCCTGGGAAGGTAATGCAGGATGGCTCAAGCACTTGGGACCCTGTGCCCACATGAGAGACTTGGAAAGAAACTCTGGTTCCTGCCCTCAGATTGGCTCAGCTTCAGTTTTTTCGGCCTTTTGGGGAGTGAACCAGCAGATGGAAGATCTTTCTTCCTGTCTCTCCTTCTTTTTTTGTAAAATCTGTCATTCAAATAAAAACTAAATCAATATTATTTTAAAAATCATTATTGCAGTGTATTCCCTCCCAGCTTTTTTCCTTGTTTTTTAAAAAACTTAATCTAATATTCTGAACATCCATACATGAATAAACATTATTCTAAAATAGTTATACAATAGACTGTTTCTAGCTGGTCAGTGAACTACTAATCATTCTATTACCATTGGATACTCATTACTGGCACTTTTTCACTACAACAAACGAAATGTGAATATCCACCTGCACATTTTCCCTTGATTTAAGTTATTCACTGGTGGATCCTTACCTTATACTGTATGCAAAATCAACTGAAAATAGATTAATGACTTACATGTAAGACATGAAACCTTAAAACTGCTGGTGGAAAACATGAGGGGAAGCTTCACTGACCGAGCGGTGATTTCCTGTGTGTGACCCTAAAAGCACAGAAAACAAAAGTAAAAACATGAGTGAGACCATCTCAAATTGAACTTTACTGCTGCAGAGCGAAAGCAGCAAAATAAAAAACAGCATTCAGATCAAGAGAGAGAGAGAAAAAAACACATAATTTAAAAATAGGCAGTGGAACCAAATGGATATTTCCTCACAGACAAATGGTCAGCAAGTATATGAAAAAGTAGTGTATGGGAAGTGCTTAACTATTATCAGAAATGCGGATTTAAAATGACAGTATCACCTTTGTCCAATTAGGATGACTTTTATCAAAACAACAACAACAACAGAGAAAAAAAACAGTCAGTGTTCATGAGGATGTTGGGAAAGGCAACCTTTGGACACGGAGGGAATGCAGCCATTCTGGAAAACACTTTAGAGATTCCTCAAGAAATTCAAGCTAGAGTTACCATATCCTCCAACAAGAGCACTTCTGTGTTTGCATCCAAAGGAATCAACATTGGGATGTCGGAGAGCTATTTTTACTCCTGTACTCATTGAAGCACTATCTATAGTAGCCAAAACAAAGAAGCAACCTGAATGTCTGTTTACAGATGAGTAAGTAAAATGTTGTGTCTATGTACAATAAATACTGCTCAGCCTTTAAAAAGAAGAAAATCCTGCCATGTGAAATAATGGGTGAACCTGGAAAATGCGATATTAAATGAAAGGAATCAAAACACAAAAGGAAAGATACCATATGGGACCACTATAAAAGGAAACTGACATCATTAAACTTTTTTAAAAAAGCATAGAATAGTGGTTGCCAAGGGCTGGAGTAGGGGAAGATAGAGCGCCATTAGTCAAAGCGTACAAAGACCCATGTACCATGTACACTGGTTGGTAGAAACGCAAATACTGAATGAAAATGCAAGATAAACTAGTCTGAGAGATCTGTGGCATGGTGTTGTGTCTCTAGCTATATTACTGCATTATATCCTTAGCCATCTTCTGAGAAGATAGATATTAAGTTATATTCTCTCTCTCTCTCTCTCTCTCACTCACACACACACGCACACACTCCTAAATCGCCAGGATACAATTGTAACAGGAAACATTGAAGGAAATGGTATGGTATGGTTATGGGTTGATTGTGGCCATAGCTTTTCAGGTGTACACATCTTTCCAAATTCATCAAGGCGCATACAGCACAGCTTTTAGAAATGTCAAATACACATTAATCATTTAAAGATAATTTAATTAGGATGTTCTCTTCAGTACAAAATTGCTACATCAAATTATTTCAATACACATTTTCCCACTGCCTTCCCAAGTAATTGTACCAACCTACAACCGTAAGAGAGAAAAGTCAGCATACCACACCCAAGCATGTTTATTCAGTTACTGTATCTGCATACGGAACTGTGAGGAAGAGTTGCTGGCAGACATCACTGACTTTCCACGAGTCGCAAAGGATTTTTAAGTATTTACCTAACTCCATAGTTGTGTCCTAGAAATTTATCTTGTTACACAAAACATTTCCAAATAACCTAAAAAAACATATCCTACATGTACCAACTGTATGCAAAGCTTGGGAGCCCAAGGAACCCTTTAGAGAAACAGGACCTCTTATACAGTTTGGAATTCCTTAAAACGTTGACTAGGAGGGAATGAAGAAGCCATTTTGTTCCCACCTGCTCCCACTGGCATGCTTCCCATAGTGTTCCCAGCAGAAGGGGTGAACATGTCAATGCTTTCTTTGCAAATGCTGTTGCTCTGTGTATACTTTAATATGTATACCTAAACTTTGTAGAAATGCAATTGATCGGCATGATATTCTGCCAGCTTTGCCTTCAGACCAGAGATGGTCTCCGCAAGAAACTGTTGAATTTACCTGGACAATAAGATGATGGACTCTATGCTTGGTATACTCTTGCAATGAAAGAATCTTGACTGAATTTGAGATGTAATACAGCAACAAGGTGGAGGAATCCATCATGGGGGGAAAATAGGGAAGGGGTTGGGGGATCCCCAGAGCCTATGAAACTGTGTCACATAATGCAATGTAATTAATTATATATATAATTAAATATATAAAAATATGTATTATATATAAATATATAAATAAATATATATATATTTTAAAAATGCAATTGATTCTTAAGGTGGAGTCAAGCAAAAAGGAAGGCTGAAACTATGAGGAATCTTCAGAAATGTCATGAAGAAATATGTATTGTGAAATATACTGTTGCAGAGCCTGAGAGCATGTTGGACACAAGTGTAGGATGTAAGGAGGGATCGTTATTGGCTAAGCGTGGTGACAGCAACTCCAGCTACACTACAGAAGCTACTGAGCTGTGTGGACAAACTCGGGGGTTTTTAAGCTCTCATCCTCCAATCAGCTTGAGTGGTTGATTAAGCACAAAGTTTTTACATAAAGTACAAAACATTCAACTAAGTGGCAGGCGGCAGGAAAGGAGCAGCTAGAGCTGAAGGATTCTCTGCAGCTCCTTCAAGTAGCTTTGCAGGAGGCAGGAGGGGAGGACATGGGCTGAGCCTCTGGAGCTGTTTCTACCCTGTCAGTTAATTCAGCAAGCCTGCCCACTGCTATGGGGTGATAGCTATCACCCAGTTGCACCCCACCACAAAATATGCATGCATTTCAAAAATTTTTGCACTGCAAAAACCTTATCTTTTAACTCCATTTTTAAAATGAAAATTTCCCAACTAAGTTTTAAGTAAAAGGCAGAACACCAGAGAAGGGAATATATATAGAGAGAAAATCTTGCATCCACTGGTTCACTCCCCAAATAGCAAAACAGGTCTAGAGCAGGCTGAAGTCAAGAGCCAGAAGCTTCACCCTGGCCTCATACAGGAGGTGCCCACATTTTTGGGCTATCATCTGCTACCTTCCCATCACACCAGCTGGATTAGAAGCAAAGTAACCAGGACTTGATCTGATGCTCTAATATGGGGTGTTGGTGTTGCAAGCAGTGACTTAACCTGTTTCACCATACCAGCCTCACCATGAACTTTTTGAAATACCCTGGCAAATAGAACAAAGACTAATTGACTGGTAGTCACATGCTGGTATTCAAAATTAAAATAGTGAAAACTAAATCAATAGAACTTAGTTCCCTAGTCTCCCATCCAAGTACTAAGTAGGCCCGACCCTGCTTAGCTTCTGAGATCAGATGAGATCCGGCGCATTCTTCCTGTTGATTTTGTATTGTGGCTTTTCATTTAAGAGAATGTACAGTAACTGTGTAATGGAGACTCATATCCAGATGTGAGGATACAGTGCAGTATGCATCTCTACTTCCAGACAAAGATAGACACCCAATGAAACTGTTTACTATATCTTGACAATAGGATGCTGGACTCTCTGCCACTGTACATGGCTGCAATGATGGACATATGACTGTGTATGAAGAACTACACTATGGTAATGATACAGGGGAACTCAGTGAGAGGGGAGGGAACTGAGGAGGGGATAAGGGAAATCCCAGGGCCTATGGAACTATATCATAAAATGATAGTAATAAAAGGAAGTTGAAAAAACACACAGTTCCTTAGTTACATTATTCCTACTTCAACTGTAGGACACAGCATGCGTAGAATATCCATTTCCTTATTGCAGAAATTCTCTGGGATGGTCCTGTTAGGTACTGATACAAGCTCATTCAGATTGTTGGGTAGTTGCATAGGCTCATGAAAGTTGGGGTGCAGTTAACCAGGGGCTGGAGATTTTGTGATCATACATACGAGTCCCAATTTTCACTAAATGAGGGAGAAGGAAGTGCTTCTCCTATCTTCTAGGACTATTTAGCCCTAGCTGTCCTTTGAACACCAACTATTTGCAGAACTTTTCTGGAAGAAGTGCTTGAGATTAAAGCAGAGAGGAAGTCTCGCCCGCAAACTGTCAGCCTGTATAGACAGCATGAACACAGGCCCCAATTCACCCGGTTGGTCACATTTTACACCTGTTTCCCATCTTCATCATGAACAGTTTTTCCTTTCTTTCTCCAAGTGGCCTGATTTGGGTAGTAAATTATATGATTACCTACATATTTCATTTTTTCTTTTCTCCTCCAACACTTCTTTTATGCTGGTTTCATATGACAAGCTTTCTCCAAGCCACATTTTTGTGGGGAGGGTGTGTTCACAGACTGTGGGCTATGAACACACAATGTGGGCTAAGGTAGAGTAGTTTTATGTGTGTTCTTGCACTTCTGTTTTTCTCTTCCTGAAGAATAAACAACATCAGAAGCAACATTGGAGATTCGAGGTTGGCAACATAGGGTAAGGACACGTTTAAACGAACGGAAAACATTTAATCAGGATGAAGCAGAGAGGACATATTTCAGGAAATAGGAAAGGACAGAAAAACAGCAGAGAGTACCTGGAGACTGACAGACACAGGAAAGCAGTGGGCACAACAGTGTGGTGTTGCAGTGACTGATATCCAGTGGCATTCAGCTAATGGCGATCTGAACTCCACCAGCAGCCAGAACTCCACCAGCAACCAGGTGGGAAGGGACTTTCACTGGGAGCTTGGGAGGTGAACCCAGACAAAGCACTGTCTGTCCTGCTGGTCCGTTTGATTTGAGCAGGAGCAGAAACAGAGCAGCAGATTCCAAACGGGCAGTGAGAGAACAGCATGGATTTCCAGACGGCCCCCTAGAGTCGAATTGGGAGCCATTTTGTTTAAGGAGGCAAAGGCAAGGGAAAGGACTGAGCATAAACTGAGCTGGGAGTGAACTCATTTCTGACACAGTGAACTGCATCAACGTGGCATTCTACAGGTTCCACCCAAGACAGGTCTGGGTAGCCCTCAGACCTAACTGCCAGCAGATCAACAACTCTAGTAGGAGCACGTCAGGTGCCATTTTGCACACTGTGGCAATAGCTTTAGGACTGCAGGGGACAACAGTGAACTGAGCATGTTCTGAGCTCAGGGAGAACTCACTGAGTTCTGTATATTGCACTGGTCCTGCAGGAAAATAATACTGACTGTGGCATTATGCAGGTCAAAATAGGTCCATTTAGCACCTAGTCCTAATGTCCAACAGGTTCCGACAAGATCAACGCCATCAACAACCTAACTGTATAGGACACCTGGTGTCTCTAATCCTTGGGACCTGCTCCAACCAGAAGTGGGAGAAAGCTTGTAGAGCCTCAGCACAGTATCACAGGAGGTGGAGAGGGGTGATCCAGGAGTTGGGGCTATGGAGACCATGGTGGAAATCTGACATAAGAACCCAGACCTGGAACTTGCTGGAGGTTGTGACACAAGTGGCTGCAAGCAAAAAGTTGTGTACCAATTGCAATAAGTAAAATTGAACCATAGACCTGTGGGTGACACAGTTTAGAAACCTGCCCCAAGGAGAAGACTGCTAACCAGAAGTACAATGACCAAGAGCACAAGAAGAGACAAAAGCACAATGAATATTACTGAAAACTCCCCTGCAAAGGAGCAAAACCCTATGCCAACCTCAGAGGTAGCTGAGGAAAACATTGATAAAATGGGGGACACAGAATTCAGAAAACTCTTTTAAAGCTTCTGATCAACAATGAGAAACACATGCAAGAGTTCAAAGAATTTAAGGAAGCAATAAAGCAAATCAAGGCTGATCTATCAGAAATTAAGAATGCAGTAGAGCAAATTAACAGTACAGTGGAGAGTCTCCAAAATAGAATGAAGTAAGCAGAAGAAAGAATCTCAGATTTGGAAGATATTTCCAGTCATCAGGGGGAAGCAAACAAAAAGCTGGAAGCAGAACTGGATCTGGCTAAAGAAATTATTCAAGGATTGAAAGACACTATTAAGAGGCCAAATATAAGAGTTATGGGAGTCCCAGAAGGTGCAGAAAGAGAAGCTGACTTTGCAAATGTATTTAATGAAATAATCAAGGAAAATTTCCCTAATCTAGAGAAAGAATTGGGAAACAAGATCCAGGAGGGGCACAGAACTCCCAACAGGTTTGATCAAAAGCGATCTTCACTAAGACTCATGATTATCAAGCTCTCTTCAGTTGAACATAAGGAAAAAAATCTTTAAATGTGCACATGAAAAAAATCAATTGACATATAAAGGAATGTCAATTAAACTCACAAGAGATCTCTCACAGGAAACTCTACAGGCAAGAAGAGAATGGAGTGACACATTCCAGATTCTAAAAGAAAAAAATTGTCGGCCTAGGATAACATATCCAGCAAAGGTTTCCTTCAAAATGAAATAAAATTCTTTGAAAAAGTCTTTGAAAATGAAATAAAATTCTTCCACAGTAAAGAAAAGTTCAAAGAATTTGCCTCTGCCTTACAAATGATACTTCAAGATGTTCTCTTGACAGAGAAGAGGAATAGCACCCAACAAAACCAAAGGCAAATGGGAAGAACATCCCAGTAAAATGACAACAGAAGACTAAACCAATGAACAACCCATTCTTAAAATGACAAGACCAAAGTACCATCCATACATATTAAACTCTGAATGTAAATGATTTAAGCTCAATCAAACCTCATAGATTAGTAGCCTGGATTAAAAAACAAAGCTCATCTGTTTATTGTCTAGAAGAGACATACTTCATCAACAAAAATCAGCGGAAACTATATCACATGGGTTTTGTTGTTTTCTATTAGTTTCATCTCTTCAAAATACTTTCTTCTATTTAAATCATTCAATGACTCATAGATCGTACAGTAGCATCAGTTTCTGCAAGAAGGTTCTTGATTTTCATTTCTTCAGCTACACGTTAGTCATTTGGTAGCACATTATTTAACTTCATGGTGTTGTTAATTTCTATTTTTCTTCCTGATATTGATTTTCTTTTGTGGCTCTTCATTTAAGGGGATGTATAGTAGCTGTGTAATGGAGACTGTCATATCTAGTAACATGTTATTTA